ACATACAGATATGAGTACCATCATATGCCCCGCCACAGCGGTAAAAGGGTAATTTACTTTATTTTATAGTTTGCTGTAATTTACATAAACAAAATAGTGAGTCGTTAAATAAAACAACTATGTGACATGATAACAATTGGTTTAAAAACATGGTGTGTTGCATGGTAATTAAAGAGTTGAGGAGGGCTGTGATTTAGACTATGTTTATTATCCTTCATTGTCGTGTGAATAAGAGAAGGCGTTCAGTGTTGACATCTCAACCTGATGTCGGTCTCAAATCTGGTATATGTCCTTGTGCTGCAGTCAAATCTACAGGGTGTTTGTGTCTGTTCTTGTCGCCTCCCCCACCCCCTTTTTTTTAAAAACCACAATCAAGCTTGTAAGCTGTTACTGTTAAATGTTTTTCTCTCCTCATAATATAATATATCTTTAACAATCGTGATTGTTAACGTCTAATTTCTCTCCCATTATACAGTTTTCGTCTGTTTCTTAAGAGACAGCATCATTTGTTATCTGTTCACCCAAGGTATTCTTTCCACTTTCCTTGGAAACCAGTTAGGCTTCGAAGATGTTTCCTAGCTTGACGGCTACTGTCCAGCTTTCACTGCAACTGACATTTTACATTATATTTTCCATCAGGCACAGGGATACTTTTATTTACCTTTGAGATGAACCCAGTGAGACCGGCTCCTGTTGGGACAGCGAGGGGAAAATGTACCACCCTTTTTCATACAAATGCCAATTATAAGAGGTAGCTGAAATCGAATCGTAAACTAGCTGCAAACTATAACACAATATTCCAACCGTGTTTTTAATGGCGAACGCAAAAGAAGAAGAAGGAGACGAAGAAGAAGGAGACGAAGAAGAAGAAGGAGGAGAAGAAGAAGAAGAAGAAGAAGAAGAAGAAGAAGAAGAAGAAGAAGAAGAAGAAGAAGAAGAAGAAGAAGAAGAAGAAGAAGAAGAAGAAGAAGAAGAAGAAGAAGAAGAAGAAGAAGAAGACGCCTTGGCGATTGTTCAACTAATCTCAAAAACATCATGTGTCAGCAGTTTCGACTGTTCCATGGCGCGTTTTATTTTCTCTTTTCAATAATGACCTTGGCTTCCAGGTCCACCCAGCTTTGAGTGGGTACCAGGTATAGTCCTGGGAAGTACAGGCGGCCGGTGTGATGATGCTGACCACACCACATCACCACAAAGTGCCGTTTGGTTTATAAAATATAGGCCTAGACCTATATACCCAATACGCATGAAAGGCGTGGAAAATGGCCCTTTGCTTTTTTTTAAAACTAGTTATAAACAGTTTCCAAGGGTGACGCTTGAGAGTTACATCAGCAGTATAAATAAACTCGGGTTTATTTTTGTCTGGCTGGCGAGGCCACAGTTCATTCACGTCACTAAAAAAGATTCGAAAGGTTCTCTGCAGTGCGCCGTTGACAGATGTAAACAATGCACTTCGCGGCTTGATCTGAAAGCTGCACGCTGGGAAGGGTAACAAAACAGCAATTATTCCCGTTTTTATTTAAAATAAAATAAAATTACAGAACATGTGAAAACTGTTCACCAGAAAGCAAGATTATATTCAATTCGCGTCTGTAATAATTCCACGCCAACATATAAAGCCGGTAAACCATTGTAGCACTGTCTTACACTCCTCAAACACGTCTATGAGCAATCAGATAGCCCTTACAATAATAAGAAAGTCCCGGGAGCACAGTGGCTCTATTTCTACATCACATCACATGGTGATCCTGGCTTTTTTTTTAAATTACCATAACACCATCTCTCTCTCTCTCTCTCTCTCTCTCTCTCTCTCTCTCTCTCTCTCTCTCTCTCTCTTTCTCTCTCTCTCTCTCTCTCTCTCTCTCTCTCTCTCTCTCTCTCTCTCTCTCTCAGTGTGTGTATGTCGTTTCCTACTTAACACAAAACCGTGTTTACGATGCTTGCTTGTTAGTCCGAAGATCTTAAGTTCCAATTCATTTCCGATGAATTTTTTTTATAACTGACCTAGACCCAGCTTAAACAGGGTACCAGGAAATGTGCTGAAAGATAAAGGCGACCGGCGGGAAGTTAATGACATCATCCATCAAGTATCGATTAATCAATGAATTGAACACAAGTTGCTTCAGCACCATTTGTCCGGTGTAGAGTGAGTGAGACAGTCAGACAGACAGACAGACAGACAGACAGACAGACAGACAGACAGACAGACAGACAGACAGACAGACAGACAGACAGACAGACAGACAGACAGACAGAGAGACAGACAGACAGACAGACCGACCGACCGACAGACAGACAGACAGACAGACAGTAATCATTTAAAAAAAATATGGGTTGATCCACCATACGTCAAATGTGCCCATGATGTGAAGAGTCTGCATTATTAGCTGGCTTTACTTTTACTCACACTACAGTCATTCGGAAGATTACGCTCCCGCGGAAAGTTTGATATGAAATCCTTGAGACTCGACAGTACAAGTAAAACGACTCTTTTTTTGGCACACTATGTATATGATGCATATTTGTATAGACAAATCGGCACTCTGTGGGTGATGTGGTCAACATAATACAGGCCTCTGTTATTTCCTATGACATGATCTGGTACCTACTGAGGTTAACTCGATATAGGAGCTATGGTCAACTTTGGAGAAAAAATCCTCTCTCGGGGACACTCGAACCCAAGGTCTCTGGGTCACAGTGCTACGGCGGCTCCCAGGGACTTATCATCACCGTCTCCTTATTTAACATTACACATTTAATTCTAACTCGCACGCCTATACTTCGCCCTCGTTTCCAAGTGACATACTGTCACCAACCACGAGGCAGGTGTTTCTGAGGGGTACCCATGGGAATAATGCAACTGGTGTTTTCTGTTCTGTTGCTGTCCTAGTGTGTACCCCACACACGTAGCCTGCTTTCATATAACATTTCCTGCTTGCTGTGTTGAAACGATTTCATACCGCAATTGGAGGTCTATTCATCTCTATTCACAAATCACTCTTCATTGCGATCGAAACTGAATCGTATATTTTGGAATGCCTAGTAGAGACTCAGCAGCTTTTATGGACACAAGTGCAAGTTCAGATGTGGAATACAATTGTTTTCCCCGGCAACATATTTCCACAACAGTAATAAGAAATCCCACAGGGGAGCATGCACAGCAAGGGCCCACCGTCGTCTGGAGAAAGATCCTTCGTCGACGATTGTTTCGGCCCATTACTTCCTATACAATCTCCGATAGTGGGCCCAACCTGGGTCATGACTCCAGGCCTCGATCATCCCCTGCTGCGCTTTAACGGACTCGATAGGGACAAGACGCTATGGTGATTTTGCAACAGCAACTGTGAGATTTGGTGTTATATTGCCGCTGCGGTAGTAAATTAGCTCAGCTGACTACCTTTATGACCAGAGTGACAATCCTACGATTGGTTCATCAGACAATTGTTACACTTTGGCAGAGAGACACCAGCAGATATTTATCGGACACTTGGGCTTTTTAAGGGATAAGAAGTTCTTTTTCACTAGGGGCACGGACCAGTCCACCGAGACCCATGTCCGCCTCTGCTGCGATATAAAGATGTGTGCAAGCGAGAAAATAATGCTACATGCATTGAGACGGACTGGTGGAAACAGGATGCGGTGAATCGTGCTTCTTCTTCCTTCCTCTACTCCTGGAATGCATCACGGCGTCAGGACAGGAAGAGATCTCTAAACCGGGTCCTTCTGTTCGCTTCGTATAAAGTACTTTTCAGTGTCATTGATTTTTATGCGGTCCACTCTTTGCGTGGTCGACCTCTGGACTGTTACCGCTGTATTTGTATAACACTGCTATCTGTTGTGCCCTGTACGATGCCAATCTTGTAACATGACCAAACCATTTAATTCGTTGCTCATATTTAAAGTTGAGTATTGGTTCTCTGTCGACTCTGCATCCCCCCCCCCTTAATCTCTTTTTTCCCTCCTGTTTTGCGCCACACATGCCAGGCGGTCTTTTATATTACACTCCGTTCTATCCGGATAGCTTCAACATAACATCGTGTCGAACGGAGAACATACGCTAGGAGGGATATAACGAGAAAGCAAATAACATTGTTATGCGAAGCAAAAGAAAAGAAAGACGTCGAAATCCGATAAAACAATGGTGATGAAACTCCATACACTTTCGTGTAACTAAAGACTTGTATTAATGCCAACTGTTCTTTCTAGTTACACTCGCTACTGCCAAGAGCGATGATTCCGATGGTCACCACAAAGAGCAATATTACACAGATACAACGGTAATGGAACCAGGGGTAGGCACAGTAAGAGAACCAGAGGTCGGCCAAGCAGAACACGGACCGCTTAAATATAAAAGACGATGAAAAGTACTTTATACGAAGCGAACAGAAGGGTCCGTTCCAGAGGTCTCTTCATGCTCTGACACTGCGAGGCATTCCAGGAGTAGAGAAAAGAAAAAGACTACAGCCCAATGTAACACTATCATCTGGAAAGGCGGGAAAACGCCAACACATTAACTGATATATTCGTCAGTGCTGCAGAGTTTGTGCACTGTGTTGTGATTACCATTGACCCGGATCATGTATAGACAAGAGTATATGTGTGCAAATATAATAGTTATTTAAACAAATTAAATAAACTATCGCGCTCCTGACCTACCTAGATATAGCTCTAAACACGATCAATGAACGTGGGACTCCTTAATTTAAAGCTTTCACAACTGTATGACGCGACACATTAGTGTGTCGGCTGCGGTGTGAAAGTGTGTCGTGCTAAAATAAAGCTATGTTCGTGTGCATATCTCCTATAAAGTGTTAGTTTAACTCCTGGTTTGCTGGTAAACTGAATTACTATGTGGTAAAAATTATTGTCTATAATGTGTCCCCAAGATGACAAGTTGTGACAGCGCTGCCCTAACTAATCTCTAACGTGAGACTGACCATGTGACAAGACACTCTCACAGACACACGCTGATGACACTGCACGACTGCAGGTTATCTTACCTTGTTGGCGTGGTTGTAGGACTTGATGACTGCAGTATACCACTGTGTGGTACCCTCCGTGCGGTAAACTTCCACTCGGTAACCCAGCAGGACTGTGGGTGTGGTCAGCAGGATTTTCTGTCCGTCTTGGTAATCGGCCCACGCCTTCACTAGTCGGACAATATCCGGGCACTCTTTCGCCGTGGGAATAGAGTTCTCGTCAGACTCCTAAAACAGAAGGCATCTAGTTATTATATGCATACAGGGGAAAGGGGGGGGGGGGGGGAAGAGAATGGTGACAGTGTAAACTGTCAGGCATAAAGTAAAAGATGACTTAACGCAAGCTGGTGTCAGACTGGCCTATTTCTTCCCATAGCATAATTAGCAGAACAATTACACTGTGCCTGGGGAAGGTTGAATTCCAGAAAAATTTGACTAAAAAGCTCAACAAAGTGGGAAAGAGGAAAACGTGCACAAAACAACACAATGTAACGTTTCGGCCAGGCAGCCTTTTTCAAACACAAGTGAAATACACAAACGAGGAATTGTTAGATCGTATATGCTCCACCTTGGGAGGGGGGGGGGGGAGAAAGAAAAAGAAGACGAAGAAGAAGAAGAGGAAGAAAAAGAAGAAGACGAAAAAGAAGAAGACGAAAAAGAAGAAGATGATGACGATGATGATGATGAAGAAATTACAGTGAGCCTGCTTTACGTGTAATATTATCCAAACGTCGTATCGTTATAATCTAAATTACACATTTATTTAGCCAGGTGACACCGCATTTAATTGTTTTTAACAAGCAGTTTAAACACGGCTGTGGACGCACGTGTACCCTAGCAGACACACGCCAGTGAGGTCAAGAACAAAAGTCCAGTGCCGAGGTACAGGGGTAAAGTCCAGGACCAGCTGCATGTGTGACGAGTGTGCGGATAGTTGGTACCTGTCCGTCTTTCCAGTGACAGTGTTATGTTGTGCTACGCTTCATGGGGAGCGTGACTAACAAGAACCACCTGTATTAAGAAAAGTCTTCCACAATTAGAGCATGAGATTTCAGGACCGGTGTTGCTTGCTATTACAAGTATTTAGTGCGTTTCTTTTCACAATTAACTGACATTTTTGTTCTGTAATCATTTCTTCCTGCATTCTCAGGCCACTAACATACATACTGAGGCGCTGCTATAAAGGGATGAAAAGTAAATCGTTAGGGAACCACTGAGGTCTGTGAAGTATCACAATGGGGGATCCCCGTGCGGGCTCCGAAGCCCCATTGTAGGGAAAACAAAGAGGCCCACCGCGGCTTAAAAGCATGTCGTAAGAGTTGACAAATTGTGAGCTTCCTTCGCAATGCCCCAACAAGTTTGAGATATGAGGTTTTGAACAACATCATGGCACACGGGTAGTAACCCACAAGTTCTCCGTTCTTCTTCTAACTTAATTCTGAGTCAGAAGAAGCTCTGTAGCACCGGCGAAGGTCCTGAAACACTTTGGGTAGATTTGTAACTCAAACTTTTGCCCAGGCAGTGCCGTTAGGCTACTTTTTTTCGAGTTCCAAATGCCAGTTTTATTTTATGGTCGCAAAAATGCACACGGGCGTCCGATCTCACTACCCAGATACCAGGGGGAATTACTAGAAGTCCAAGTTCACGTGAAAAAAATTCCAGCCCTTACAGGGGATTGAACCCGGAACACCTAGCACTCGAGGCGGACACCATGCTTCGAAACCACGCAGCCCCGCCAAGTATGTCCTACCAACTAATTAGAGGTTAGATGAAGTCGGATGTATGGGGCCGAAAAGCGCAGATACAATAACCTTGCTGTAAACATCAAAACAGGTAACAACAACCTTTACACAGAAGAAAGACATAGCCAGACAAAACGAGAGAACACCTAAGCAGAGACGATGGGAAAGTATCCGTGTACACAAACCGAGGGCAAAGAGGGGGGAGGGGGGGGGGGGGAGAGTATGTCTGCTGGGTTTTCCCCACTGTCACCGGGATGGCCCTCATATATCGTCAGCTACCACTATCTGACAAGTTCCCCCTTGCAAACAGCAAATGTGAGGTAACCCAAATGCGCACATGTTCATGGCTGTAGCGTTTGCCCGGCGGGGTGAAAGGTGAAATAAACTGGAACGTGACATAAGGCACGTGGCAACACGCCGAATTTTGGGTCAAGGTATACATCTGTAGGGAAAAAAAAAAATACACTCAGCCTACAGCGGGGAAACAAGGCAACATAACAAACAGCGTAATTAAGTTATCTCACTGGCACGTCTTAACTTCTGCTGTACCAAATAACTCACTTGACATCTAAATTATTAGTCAATCGGCAGCATGTAGCACTTGCTAACAACTGGCAAGACTAATGGAAAGAGAGCCAGGCGAAGGCAATTAGAGAAACAATGGATTGTTTATCACCGATGGGGCAAAACAACAACATTGAGCTGGTCTGTGATTCTGTTGATCGTGTGAGATGACGAAACATGACAGCCTATGCTTACGGGCACTGCTTTTGAGGATGATGAGCAATGCAGCTGTACATGTCTAACCAAGTTAATCTCATCTAGATAATAACTGAACCCAACCAATCTTAAACATACGGATGTGAGACATGGACTATGGCGCAATCACTACAGAAAACCAATTAGGGCCTCTAAACAGGATTTTCACAGAGCATCATGGGCCAAGAAGCGGGAAAATCCTGTCATTCTTCGCGATCAGAATATACATCGTGTTTTTTTTTTTTTTTTGTCTTTCTGGAAGATGACTAGGGATCGTCCGAAACAACGGCGGACAGAGGATATCGAGGACGGCCTGAGCATTAAGATTCACAAAGCTGGAATGTTGGGACCGGGTGGGTTGCCACGACAAGAGCGACATTCTGTGAAAGCGAGAGAGAGAGAGAGAGAGAGAGAGAGAGAGAGAGAGAGAGAGAGAGAGAGAGAGAGAGAGAGAGAGAGAGAAAGAGAGAGAGAAAGAGAGAGAGAATTGTGCTGGAATGCTGCACTGTTTGGTTTGCACTTTGCACAATGTAACGGGAGTACCCCCCACCCCCCCCCCTCTCTCCACGAGCTTTTAACTCGTATTTCATAACAATAATAATTTCCTTGATGAATCAGTGTGAGCTGTAACCCGTTCATCTGATTCCCTGTGTGAGTTAAAGGGCCAGATTGGGAGTCTAGGGATGGGAGTGCGATTGGAACAGACCATCACCGTCTCTAATCATAACACGAGGCTGTGAATAGACTCACAGTCCCACAACAGACAAGTCGCAAAAGGCCACTATTTACAGGTTTGTTGAAATCAGATGTGTTGGGCCGAAAGGCGAAGTTATGGCGAAGAAGAAGAAGAAGAAGAAAGAAGAAGAAGAAGAAGAAGAAAAGAAGAAAGAAGAAGAAGAAGAAGAAGAAGAAGAAGAAGAAGAAGAAGAAGAAGAAGAAGAAGAAAAGAGAAGAAGAAGAAGAAGAAGAAGAAGAAGAAAGAAGAAGAAGAATGAAGAAAGAAACGTAAGAAGAAGAAGAAGAAGAAGAAGAAGAAAGAAGAAGAAGAAGAGAAGAAGAAGAAGAAGAATAAGAAGAAGAAGAATAAGAAGAAGAAGAAGAAGAAGAAGAAGAAGAAGAAGAAGAAGAAGAAGGAAGAAGAAGAGGAAGAAGAAGAAGAAGAAGAAGAAGAAGAAGAAGAAGAAGAAGAAGAGAAGAAGAAGAAGAAGAGAAGAAGAAGAAGAAGAAAGAAAAGAAGAAGAAGAAGAAGAAGAAGAAGAAGAAGACAGAAGAAGAAGAAGAAGAAGAAGAAGAAGAAGAAGAAGAAGAAGAAGAAGAAGAAGAAGAAGACGAAGAAGAAGAAGAAGAAAAGAGAAGAAGAAAGAAGAAGAAGAAGAAGAAGAAAGAAGAAGAAGAAGAAGAAGAAGAAGAAGAAGAAGAAGAAGAAGAAGAAGAAGAAGAGAAGAAGAAGAAGAAGAAGAAGAAGAAGAAGAAGAATAAGAAGAAAAAAGAAGAAGAAGAAGAGAAGAAGAAGAAGAAGAAGAAAGAAGAAGAAGAAGAAGAAGAAGAAGAAGAAGAAGAAGAAGAAGAAGAAGAAGAAGAAGAAGAAGAAGAAGAAAAGAAGAAGAAGAAGAAGAAGAAGAAGAAGAAGAGAAGAAGAAAGAAGAAGAAGAGAAAGAAGAAGAAGAAGAAGAAGAAGAAGAAGAAGAAGAAGAAGAAGAAGAAGAAGAAGAAAGAAGAAGAAGAAGAAGAAGAAGAAGAAGAAGAAGAAGAAGAAGAAGAAGAAGAAGAAGAAGATGCTGATAAAAATGCCTTCAGCAACAGTTCGTCTTGGGCAACTTCTAGCTCACACACCACAAGAGCAGAAAGCTCCGAGAGTTGTTAAACGCACAAGTAAACATTCAGGTGAAGCCCAAGTTTCTGTCAAGGTTTTGAGCACTCGTAAACTAAGGGGAGCGACAACAGGTGACATAGTTAGTGGTTAAACAAAAACACGGTCAGTAATTGCCTAAACACCGTGTGCTGTTTTGTTCTGCGCACATACTAAAATCATGAACCTACTTCTTCGTAAGAAGCTCAACGAGGACAAAAAAAAAAAAAGGAAAGAAAGCACCACAAACTGTACGTTTTGACGGAAGTCTTTAACAACGACCATAAAAAGAGCTCGCCTGCAGTTATCTTTATTTTCAACACGTTTGTTGTCATGAAGACGTTTGTAGAAAGAACATGCTGTCTGCCGGTTAAGTGAATGTAGGTGCTTTTCTGCATTGTGTGCGTGACTTTTCAGTCTATTTCTGTGTTCCCCTCACCTACAACCGTCTACCTAATTCGTTCGCCCGGTGTGAAACGGCTGTTGTCTTGTGTCCGTTTATGGTGTGGCGATTGTTTAAAGGCCAACACACCCCGACACACACGTCCTACTCGTCCAGACAATTCTGTCCAGCCAACCACAAGTGCTCCTTTGTCAGACAAGAGTTTGCTCCTCTCCCATGACCAATTGACCACAGCTCAAATGCTATTTATTTGAAACCTTTCTACAGATTTGCCCCCTGTATTCACTTTTGTACAGTCCATCTTTGACTTGAAATGTGGACTGTTAGACCTTTTGAGGGCAATTCATACTGAGGGTACCACAACGCATGAGAATGCCGGGTACAATATTTTTTGCCTCCCCCAAACACGAAATTCCCGTGGGAATTCCACAGCTGACTTGACAGTCCATTATTTCAAGGGGTGCAAGTGTACTGC